TCTATTCACAATAGCCAAGAGATAGAATCAACCTAAATGCCCATCAACTGATGAATGGATAAAAATACTATGGTATATATACAAATGGAATACTATTCAGCTATAAAGAGAAATGATATCCTATAATTTACAGTAACATAGATGGAACTGGAAACCATCCTGTTAAGTGAAGTAAGTCAGGCACAGAAAGACAAATACTGCATGGTCTCACTCATATGTGGAATCTAAAAAAAAGCGGGGGGGGTTCTCACAGAAGTAGAGTAGAATAACGGTTACCAGAGGCTGGGAGGGGTAGGGAAGAAGGGGGAGGAGAAGGAGGGGAATAACAGTTACAAAACTTGTGCTGTCTACCCTAAGTAATGCATTGTGCAGTACATGCATGTATTGAAACAACACACCGTACTCCTCAAAAACAAATATAAATAAAATTGTAAAATCACCATTAAGGTTTATGTGTAACAAGTTTCACCAAACTTTTAAGAAACACTACCCTAATCTCAAATAACAAAAACATTTTAAAGTAAAACTAAAAATGAAATAATGCTCTGATCAGAAGTATCTTTTTTCCAACAACTCATTAACAGGAGCAGGTTCATATCAAACTTTAAAACATGTTATTAACCATTAACTGAACCACTGGAAAGATACATACTAGCAATAAGAATATTGTACTGCCATTAACCATAAGGATGGCTTGAGACATCTCTTATTCATACTAAAACCTAAAAGCATGCAATTAAAGCCACCACATCAACTGTCCATATAAATCACTCACCAATTTAATTAAAGTAAACCACCCTGTCAGAAAGCTTACTCTTCTCTATTTCTCAACATTATCAACTTTTAATAGTTCATTGAATTAGTAATTACTTGTTTGTGGCATTATCAAATGTCTTGGATACAAAAGTCCAGCATGTAGCAAGGTCAGTTATAGACATGTCCTTATGGCAAATGAAAGGAGAAATTTAACCCATCAAAGTGGCCGTCAAAACAGCAAAACCTATTATGCCTTTCTCTAGACAATCCTGGCTAGATTCAAAGTGACAGGACAAACTAGATCAAAACTAAACAGATAAAAGCAACTTACAAAATCCTAATGAACCCTTAGAAATCCAGGTATTGATCTGTCAACATCTAAGCTCAATTAGTCCTTTCAGAACAAAATACTTCATGAGGTGACAAGAAACTAGTTTGCGATCTAGGATATGAAAAGAATAAAACCAGTCACTTTACATAGCTTATTGCTAAGTGCAGTCATATCACAATATGGGGATCTTGTGAGGATTAAATAAAGATGTTTGTCAAGCATGCATATACTTAGTCCAGGAGCTGGCACATAACTAGTGTTCAGCAAATGTTGGTCTTTCCACCCCTCTTTAAGAACTCAGGCTTATCAGGTCAAAGATCATCTGATAGCTTAAAAAAGCGAAACAAAAGAAAAACCTTAAGTGGTGTCACAGACAACACACCTTAAAAGAAATTAATGTTATACAGTAGCAGATAGGAAGGTGAAAATGAAAAACAGATACTGACAACATTTCTGAATGGCTCATACTTCATGGTCATTTACAACCTTGCTGTTTTATGAAACTGTCTTTAGGGATGAGATTTGGTAAGAAATAGGCCAAATACAAACAATTCCATTTGGAAGTAAAACCTTACCATGCTTTCCTGTAGCAGGTGAACAGTTCCTCTGGTAAAACTTTCACCATTGGCTATACTTCAAGCTTTCAGCAATTCCTGTTTCTAAACAAACCAGTAACAAAACTATAAAGCTAATTTTTTCATTAGAATTGTTAAATAACAGAAGTTCAATAAATCATTTGCCTTCTAAGAAAAAAAATTACTTTCTAACCCACATAATATTTCTTACAGTTCTAATAAAATGAAGCTTATTTATTTACAAACTGAAAACTGTAATACTATAGTAAAATCTTTTTGTAGCTCAAAAATGAAATATTTAAGATATAAAGGTATGGAAAGAACAAGACTTGGTCTCAGAAGTCTTGAGATCAAGTATTCATGCTTCCATTTACTATATGACTTTCAGCAAGTTACCTAATTTCTTAGGGACTCAGTTACTTGTAAGGCTTTTTTCAGCTCTAAAAGTGATAAGATTATGTATGATGTCTGATACTGTCTTCAGTGCCCCCCCATACATATATATGTATGCATGTATGTATATATATACATACACACACACACATATATACATGTACCTTCATTAAATAATACATATTTTTAAAGTAGTAACTTAAGGCCCATTAAGAAACAAAGAGAATGGGGGGATGGGGGGGGCTTGGCTCCACACATCATTCTCAATAGTTAGGGCATTTACACAGCTCCTCGTAACACCTGAATTAACCAAGTAAGCCTTTAAACCCTTACAATGAAACATTAAAATTCAATGTGGCTATAATCTCTTCCTTACAAAACATGGACCCAAAGAGTCTGGCTTTAAGTATGGTTTTTTTTTAAAAAAAAGAAAAGTGAAATGTTTTATATTCACCACCCAGCTCTTCCATATGATCACATTAAAAAACACACAAATGAAAACTCACAGGCCCATTGTAATACATTGTACTGCTTCTGAATGCAACACATAGCTCAGGCTTACTACTCTGACAAATAAAGGAAAGCACTTTATGAAGTCTATTTAATTGGGAGGTGACAGAAAACATACAGCCATTTTCTTTAGCCTTATCATTGCATTGGCTTCAGCTCCAATCTCTGGCAAATCCCACTCAACAGAAGAAATTAACCAGGTCAGCAGAACAGGTGCTACGTGGTGTCTGTCAAGGGCCTGGCATCACCACAATTACTTGCACACAATGAAGCAGTAATCTTTACAGATCATCTCTCCCAAGAAGCATATTGGGGAGGGAGAGGAAAACTGAAGGGAGGTGGAGGGAGTGGGAAGAAGAGAAATAGGAAGCAAAGAGAAAAGGCAAGAAAAGAAAATGAATGTGCAGCTGCCTTGCAGCTCAGCAGATGTCGGGATGTGATGTACGAGGCTAGGATAAGCTGTCATAGCCTGCTGCCAAAGAGTGGTAAGTCATTAAGGCCCGCACAGTTCTAAGCACCATATTTAGAATCTGCGGGGTTTCAAGACTTGCACCCATTCCTTGCTGTGCTGCCAGATGTTGGCAACTGGTCCACTTCCTACTGATTGTGCATGGATGGCAGCAGTTGGTACAGCAGCAAAGCAATCTGGAATGCTTCCGGAGATGCTGTACATTAACAAGTGTCACCCATCATTCACCTTTACAGAAGGCTGAAACAACTCCAATTTGCTGCCACTTCCCTCTTGGGAAACAGCCAAGATAAAGTTGCGCCTGGCAGCCCCATTTGTTTCACTCAGGTGTTTCTGCTGCCTTGCTGACCTCTATTAGTTTAAGTTTTAATTTAGATTAACCTCAGCACCCCAATTAACCAGCAAGGGGAAAAGCTAAGATGTGACTAGTCATAACTCTGAAATCAGAATTTATCGAAGTTAAAATTATTAATTGGGATGAAGGTCCAATCAAGTAATGCTACTTCTTTTTAAACAGACCTCCAGACTTTAAAAAAAAAAATCTTTCAGACTAAGGATTGCCATTAAAAGCAACTTCTCCCCAGTAATTTCAGTTTATTTTTATTAAGCCTATTTAATTTATGATGCACCTTCCATTGAACAATATACACTTCAATTATTGAGAGAACTGGAATATTTTTGACTGTCTCCTGTGATCTCACACAACTATACAGCATTAATATCCAATATCAGGTACTTCCTTAGACACTCCAGAACAAAATAGAGTTCCCTACTCCTGTGACAAATGCATCTAAGAGAAGAAAAGGAAAAAAGAATCAGGACCTCTGACTGGGAACAGCTGAGGCCACACCAATTCTCTTTCCTATACCCTCTCACCATTAGTTTTAAGACTCACTTATGGCAATAATTTTATCCAATATTACAGAATGAATAAAAGATTAATAGAAAGTCTCTTTCTCTTTTTAGGGTAAAACCAGACGTGTCCCTAACACAGAATTACATGTAATTTTCCTAAGTAGTTCCTGTCTTCATATTCATATACGTAGTACAGCCATCATTGGCTAAACCTTCAATATGCAGTTGCAAATTCTTTGGCAAATAAAGATTCAGCAGAGAAAAAAAATTATCCTGATAAACAATGGCTCAAAAAAACCCCTGGTATATCAGTGCTGAACAGCATCCTTAATTCTCCACTGAGCTAGAAAGGGTACAGCCTAAAGCACATTTCATTAAAAAGTATAACTTATCAAGAGACTCAGGAATACAGGAAGTTATTTTAGTTCTTTAGAACAGTCCAAATGTTTAGTCTACCCTAACAGTCGCCATCATCATTAAAAAGAGCAGCATGCCAGCAGATAATGTCAGGGTAAGAACTGGGGGGACATTTCTGAAAACATATTGAGAACTGCACCATATTTCAACTTCTACCAGTTCTTCCTATCTTCAAAGCACTAATCAACAGTAGCAGACATTCTCAATATGTACTTAACTGATTTGAACAGGCACAAAAACACATTAAAAACAAGAGACATAATACATAATAGAACCAGAAGTGCATTCAAGAACTCTAGCATCCCAGCCCTTCAGTTCCATATCCCATTCTAATAGTAATGGGACAAGAAACCACATAATTAACAAAAAGTCCTCCATTAACATGATCAAAAACGATTGAGAAAGAATAAACCACCTAACTCAAAAAGCTGAAACTATCTGACAGATAGTTTACACTCAAGCAACAACTAACAAAGTAACTGTAGCTGTTTTCATTTCAAAAGGAAAACATAAAACAAAAAAACCCAACAAATCCAGAACAACACAGTAAGTCAATTTTGAAGACAGGAGTTCTAACTCCCTGTCTAACTCTATTCTTGCAAAATAAACTACCTTTTGTTCAGAGAATTCTGTCATCTGTTTTAAAATGCTAAATCCTGATTTATAGCAATAGAAAAGAATGTAAAAATCACACCTGGTGATAAAAGTCATCATCATCAAAGATTTCTTCATCCAAGTCCTTAAGGTGAGCATTGGTAGGTACTTGAGGAAGAATCTCCTATATAAATGAGAAGTAAGGAGAGTGAAGTAAGGTTGCCAAAGTAATGTAGCTACTATAAATAATGTGTAACAGTCAAAGCACCGTTTTCCTTAAGATACAAAGAGCTCTTAAAATTAAAGAACAATGGGCCGGCCCGGTGGCGCACTGGAGAGTGCACCGCTTGGGAGTGCGGCAGTGCTCCCGCTGAGGGTTCGGATCCCATGTGGAGACTGGTTCCCGCTCACTGGCTGAGCGTGGTGCTGACAACACCAAGTCAAGGGTTAAGATCCCCTTACCGTTCATCTTTAAAAAAAAAAAAAAAAAAAATTA